TGCGGCCGGGTCGCATGGTCGGCCGTGGCACCGGGTACCCCTCCTGCGTGAGAGCGCGCCGGGTCGCGGGCAAGTGCGCCTCACCAGCCAGACCGCGGTCTGCCCGCACAGCGGCACGGCGGTACCGGCGGGGGGGTGCCGGGCGCACCCTGGAGGTGACTGACAGCGCGGACTTGGAGTTCCTTTCCTCGTCGCTCTCTGCCTGGTTAGGGTCTTACTTAGCTGAGAGTTCTGCACTCCTTCTCGGTTGGAATCTGCCTGCCACTTGCTAGCTGTGTGACCTTGGGCAAGTTCCTGGCTCTCTGTGCTTGGTTTCCCTCTGTAAAACTGGAGGATCGCTTGAGCCCAGGAGTCTGAGGTTGCTGTGAGCTAGGCTGATGCCATGGCACTCACTCTAGCCTGGGCAACAGAGCGAGACTCTTGACTCAGAAAAAAAAAAAGAAAATACATATTTATATATGTGTGTGTGTGTGTAAATGTGTGTGTGTAATTGGTACATCACACTCACGATATAAACAGACTTACATGTCCATGAGTTCATGAACGCACATGCAACATGCGTGCAATTGGATGTTCAGCCACAGGAAGGGATGAAGCCCGGGTCCGCGCTACCACGTGGATTAACGCTGAAACCATTTTGCTGCTGAAAGAAGCCAGTGGCAAAAGACCCCATATCATAGCATGATTGAATTGATACGAAATGCCCGATAACAGGTCGCCCTGCGGAGACAGAAGGCAGATCGGCGTTTGACGGGGGCAGGGGTGGGGGAGGGAGGGGCAGCCGCTGACAGTTACAGGGTGTCCGCTGGGGGGTGGAGAAAATGTTCCGAGATTGACGGCGGTGACAGTTGCACAACTGTGCACACGCTAAAAACCACTGAACGGTATACACGAAAGGGTGAGTTTTATGGGACGCGGGTTATATCAATAAAGACAACAGAAAGCAAGCGTGGAGGCAGCTGAGAACGCCGTTATTTAGAGGCTGTCCGGAGCCTTTCGGATTTATGTGTGACAAGTGGGCAGCTGTGGCCGGCGCCCGTGCTGCAGTGACAGCCCCCACGGTGGATCGCGGCGCCCCGGCGTGCGTTGGCCAGTGAGGGCGAGAGGCCCTGGCGTCCGGGGCTGGGCGTGCGCGGCTCTGGTACGCAGGATGACACCTAGCGTCAGGTGTGCCCGTCTGGGGAACCCGGGGAAGCCCGCCCGCGTGAGAAGGAATGTGTGCAGTCCCCGGGCACTCGGTAACAGAGTAGATTCAAACGCAGGTCTTTTTAAAATTCCAAGGGTCTTATTTTTTTTTTTTTTTAATCACACTGTATATGCACTGAGGGGCAGGTGACAAAAGTGCACAGGTGTGTTTGTGTGTGTGATGTTACAAAAGCATTCAAAGATGTTTTTCTGAATGAGCGGAACCTGGAGGCGTGTGATCCCGGTTCCGCCCTGCACAGCCCCGTGGGGTGAGGCTGGCCTCCCTCGCACAGAACAGGGAACGGGTTTAGGCCGACGGTGGCATTTCTAACCTGCTCCCGGGGCGCCCGGGCTGGGGTGCGCCGCTAACCCGGGCCCAGGCTCCGGCAAGAACAGAACCAGGGCAGGCGGCAGGTGGCTGAGCCCGTGGAGGCAGGTGCGGGGCGGCAGGGGTGGGGGGGAGGAGGAGAATGCAGGGCTGTCGCAGCCAGAATGCTTGAAAACCTCCCCGAAATAACCGTGGGTTCCATTCCCGTCTTGTAAACCACGGAAAGTCCCATGAGCCAAAAAAAAAACGGCTATTAAACATTTCCAGGATAAAGAACAAAAAAGATGGCTCCATCCCACCTCCCTTCCCTCCCTTGTTCCCTCCCTTCCCCCAGTGCTGCTGGTCTTTTCCAATTCCTTGTCCCATCTTCTCAGTTCCTTTGTCCCTTGATCCGTGGTGACCTTGCACTGGGAAAACAACTCCCTCCTTTCACTTGTGACTTTGAAAGGGTGAAGTTCTTCAGTTTTTAGGGGCAGATTAAAGTCACCCGAAACCACCATCTAGGATGGTAGCAATGCCAGCGAGATTTTTCCAAAATAAATAAAATGAGAGATCGTTCTTTGCAAAACTTCATCCTAATCCCCTCTGCCTTGAGTGTGACATTCGAGATGATCACAGGCACTTGCTTTTCCTGGTTCCTTCTAATCTTTATTAGTTTGTGGATTCATTTTTTATTAGTATGAACGTACCCAGGTGCGTGCAACCCGCCCGTCCCCGGCCACACAGAGGGGAAAGTTCCTGTCATAACCCTCTGCAAATGTTTGCTCAGCCTGCTCCCGCCGGCCTGTGCCGGAACACCAGGGAAGGTGACAGAAGGATGTCGCCATAGAAACTGGGCACAGCCCCTTGACCACATTCTGTAATCGTGGTTTATATAACTTGTCCCTAAGAGCTCCATTGTGTCCGGATGAAAGGTCTCCATTCACATGCCGTAGTTCCTTGATTCTAAGATGCACGTTCTTTTTCACTCCTCTGAGATCATATCCTTCTGATAAGTGATGAAGGAGTAGGCGCCGTGTTACTGATTCACTGGCATGGCGTTTTCCCTTTCTTACTGTGCACAAAATAGTGATGTCCTTGGCACGGTGGCTCACACCTATAATCGTAGCACTCTGGGAGGCTGAGGCGGGCGGGTCGCTCAAGGTCAGGAGTTCGAAACCAGCCTGAGCCAGAGCGAGACCCTGTCTCTATTATAAATAAAAAAAAAATTAATTGGCCAGCTAAAAATATATATAGAAAAAATGAGCCGGGTATGGTGGCGCCTGCCTGTAGTCCCAGCTCCTCGGGAGGCTGAGGCAGGAGGTTTCTGTGAGTGAGGCTGACGCCACGGCACCCTAGCCCCAGGCAACAGAGCAAGACTGTCTCAAAAAAAAAAAAAAAATAGTGCTGCCCTTCCCAAACGACCATCTTAGCTTCATCGAAATACAGTGGCCCCGTGTGACTCTGGTTGAGTGAGCCCCGAAGGTTTTTCCACGACGAACCAACCCAGGTGGAGTGCTCGCCGCGTGCCAGGCCGGCCCAGGTCTAAACACCTGCAGATGTTCGCCTGTTCAGCTTTGTTTATTCAGCGGCTACGCACTGACACCCTTGGGTGTTCCCATGCACAGAGCAAAAGCAAGCCAACCATGGGCCGGAGGTAGCCAGAAAATATGTTTTGTTTGAATTGCATCTGTTTAAAAAAAAAAAAAAAATTGGGATTTGTTGCTAGTATTTAAAAACTGAGACTTTGCATGAAAAACAGGTGCTGGGTTTCTAGTTTCTCGTGGGAAACGCGCAAGGTCTCGCAACACTGGGCCCGGCTGTGGGTCGGCGGGTCCCGGGGCACAGAGAGAGCTGGGGGGTTGCCAAGCCTGAGCCGACACCCCCAAACGGATCCGCTCAGCAGGCAAAGGCACAGCTCCGGCATCTTACTTCGCGTGACTTCAGTTTCCTTGTCTGGCTCCCTCAGAGGGAAGTGTCTGAGCCACTAGGCTGATGAGAAGGGAAATTTGAGGGACCCAGGGAGGACCCTCTGAACCAAAATAGTCTATTCTCACTCATGCTCTGACTCTGGAAATTCCTTTCATGGGGCCCGAAGACCTTTCTCTGTAATAAATGAGAATAGTTTAATGCAAAGGCACTTAAAGAGGCAGAACGGCTGACAGACTAACTCATACTAAGGTGTGGATGGCTGGCGGGAGAGGGCCCTTCCCAGGAAGCAGGGTTAGCAGGGGAGCACTCAGGGCAGTGGAGGAGGAGGCGGGCACACCGGGGAACCGAAAACAGAGAACAGACCCGGGACGCGTCGTCACGGGGCCCCGTCTGACCTTCCACTCCAGCCTGGCCGTGGCGGCCATCCCAGAGGGCCTGCCCATCGTCGTGACGGTCACGCTGGTCCTGGGCGTGCTGCGCATGGCCAAGAAGCGGGTCATCGTGAAGAAGCTGCCCATCGTGGAGACGTTAGGTGAGCGGCCACCGCCGGTGGCGCTTTCACCCGGGGGTGGGGCTGCGTGGTGGGGGGAGGGCCGGTTGTCACCGCGACACAGCCCTGGCGGACCCCTCGCTTGCTTCCGTAACCTGGCGTGTCACCGGGCCAGGTTGCTGCAGCGTCCTCTGTTCCGACAAGACGGGGACCCTGACTGCCAACGAGATGACGGTGACCCAGCTCATGACCTCGGACGGGCTGCACGCCGAGGTGAGCGCCCGCAGGACGCAGGAGCCTCGCTCGCTGCGAAGGCCGGACAGGCGCCCCGGCCAGGGACGGCAGGCGCGCGCGGCGTGTGTCTAGGACTTAGTAGGGAGAAGTGAATCGGGCTTCCTGTGCAATCTCCCTGCTGCAGATTCCAGCCAGAAACAAGGCTGGTTTTTTTTGTTTTTTAAGTCATCCCATACTTTGTTTCGAAAGGCATGCCCGATTTCAGGTAGCCCCGTTCATTTTTATTAGTGACGTGCGCGTCACAAAACGTGCAGGCTGGGAAACGCTTACCCTTCCGCTCCCACGACCGACCAACCGCCGTCAGCCCGTTTGTGCTGCTTTTTCTTTTCTTTTTTGTTTTTTTTTATTTGAGACAGAGTCTCACTCTGTTACCTGGGCTAGAGTGAGTGCCGTGGCGTCAGCCTGGCTCACAGCAACCTCAGCCTCCTGGGCTCAAGCGATCCTCCTGCCTCAGCTCCCGAGTGGCTGGGACTGCAGGCATGCCACCACCATGCCCAGGCTAATTTTTTCTATATATTTTTAGCTGGCCCATTAATTTCTTTCTATTTTTAGTAGAGACCGGGTCTTGCTCTTGCTCAGGCTGGTCTCGAACTCAGACCTCGAGCGATCTGCGCTCAGCCTCCCCAGAGTGCCAGGATGACAGGCGTGAGCCACCGCGCGC